TCCCTAAAATATACTTTTTTTTTTTTTTAAAGTCTGGTACAACTTCCATTCAATTGATGCAGTAGGGTCTTTTACGATCTTCGTGTATTTTTCTTTCTGAAACACCCCTTCGACCTTCTGTTCGTAGAGATCAGTATCCATCACAACATAGCATTTCTCTTATCTGCAGGTAAGATCTTGATGGTGTTGTCTCTACGTAGCCCGTTCAGGGCTCTTCGTTCTTCATTGCTGACCAAACTGGGTCCTGACCAAAGTGACCCAGAATTGAATGCAAATCTGGCATTTCTGCAAACGTATGAACCATTTCAACAGAAAATTCGATTTTTCTCAACACTCTTAAATTGCGCAATAGAGGAAATCTTCAATTGACAGTTATGTGATTGATGAAGCAATTGTTTGTTATTAATCTGTAGGAACTTCTAGTGTTGAACAGCCAACTAAAGACATTTCGAAGGATGATGAAAAAGAGCTCACACCTCGATAAAAACTGGCTTTTCGAAAAAGTGCTGCGAGATAGAAAGAAAATGAAAATAATGGTGTAACAATATTAATTCGAATCTAACGCCCAATTATGTTTAGGGGGTTTTAGGGGTTAACAGATTACTTGGTTTTATATGCTCTTACGATAAGAAAGCCATGGATTCATATTCACTGAAACATGTTAAACAGTTCATGAAACATTGAAAAAAATCAATTTTCATTTTGTAGTCGTACTTTGCAAAGGCTGTAACTTTTTCTGTGTGAACATCTGCTTCAAGTTGTTCCCAATCGAGTTATTTTTGACCCCAGAATATATGACCTTTTCCGTTGAACTTTGTATGAGATATTTGAAATGAATGTCAAAATTCATGGAAAGAAAGCATAATAGCATTTTTTCAAATAGTTCATGAATGAAAATTATTGAAGGATAATGAGTATTAAAATGCACTTTTTTGCTATTTTACTTTACTCTCACCCATTTCACCACTTTTGTTTGATTAAAGACAAATGGAACATCCTGTAAAAAATATGAAAATGAGTTCTGGTTTCCGTTGAGAGCCAGTAATCCGTCGAAAGCTTTTTCTCGATCTCTTCGAATGACAGATTCAGCAGACCAGATAATTGAATAACTTCCATCAATCTCGTTGACCCAAATAATCCGGTTCCGTCGAATAAATCAATCTTTGAACGAAAACGAAAGTCAATGGTCCATACAGCAATGTTTGACTAAAGATATATACCTTTACTTTTATTCAGAAGGATCTTGATGAAGTGATCCGGATACTGAAGGTTTCTGAAGTTTGCACGTGCATATTGAAAATTTTGAAAGCTGGTGAAAATTTGAGTTGTTTGCCATAGTTTTTTCACTTCTTGGTATCCTTTTTGATCGCCTTGTTATCAGATTAAGAAGGTAACGGTCAGAGAGAGAGAGAGAGAGCAGAGCAATTTTTGAGAACTTCACTGAGTACTTAGTAGGTAGTTTTTAAATTTGGATTTGAATACCAACAGCGATAGTTGTAGGTATGATTCATCCGGTTTATGCAAATTATTCATGCAGACTGCCATATTGTAGGAGAAGGACCGTTTGTATATTTCTTTACACTGTGATGGTAAAGTAAGAATGGTTTGTTTACGAATATTCAAATTATGGATGTCCTTTCTATAAGAGAGTTTTTCATGTAGATAAGGTGGAGTCTTTGATTTAAATATATTATGAAACTAGCAAGCTATATGATGACGTCGCCGCTGGTGCATATTTAGTCATTTAAGCTCTTTTAGTTCATCAGTAATTGATATACGACTGACTTTTGTAATACCACAAATTAGGCGAACACATGAGTTCTGTACTTTCTGTATATGACGAATTTCGACTTGAATAAGACAAGGACTGTAAACAACATCGCAATAATTAAAATGAGAAAGAACCAAGGTGTCACATAACATTTTTTTGAGGTCTTTTTATAAAAAGTGTCTTTGAGTAAATTAGCTTTAGAGAAGCGTATGCGATTCTCAATTCATTAGTAACGTGTTCTTTGAAGCGAAGTGTTGTATCAACTGTAAGTCCCAAATTTTTACAAGAAGTTTTAATAGGTATTTTTTTGTCTCCAATTTTGAATATAACGGTATCAGACAAAAAATCTGAAGCATTATCTTTTCCAAAAAGTAGAGCTATCGACTGGTTAGGATTGATTTTCAGTCTATGATCAACAGATACCTTGTGTAAGGAAATCAAATCGTGAATGATAGACTCCGTAGCAGCTACCAAATCCGAGTATCTAATAGAGAAGTAGATCTGCGTATCGTTCGCATAGAGATGATATTTACAAAATTTGAGTACGTCAACGAAGGTTGAGGTATAAACAGTGAACAGTAGGGGTCCAAAAATACTCCCTTGAGGAACACCTGATATAACTTTCAGCGGTGTAGAAAGATCGTTATTGAGTTTAACAACTTGTAATCTATCACTTAAGTACGATCTCATAAGAGCATGAGCCGAAATATTGAATCTGAAATAATGTAGCATTGACAACAACATATCATGATTTATCAAATTGAAGGCTTTTGAATAGTTGAGAAGAATGAGCGCTCTCATTTTAATTTTGTCATTAGCCTCAATTAAGTCGTCAACTACATCAGTAAGAGCAGTTGCACAGCTATACCCCCTGCTGAATCCAGATTGTTTGATGGGTAAAATATTGTTTTCAGGCATAAAAGTTAAAATAAAAATACATATACACACATACACTCACACTTGAATACATATATGATATATCTAGCTATTAAAGTATTCTTCCAACGAGTAGAAACATTTTTCAGTCAGGAGTTGTTTGAGGAAGCAGCTGAATTTTTTCAAATATTTGGCTTCTTTTATACTTTCAGGTAAATGATTGTGAATAGACAGACCCATAACTGTAGGTGCATTGTCAGAGACCTTATATTTTGTGAATGGAATGTGGTCTCACATCAAAATAAATTTTTGTCTTTTTTTAAAAATAAAGACAGATAATTTATAGGGACATGAGGGTCAAAATTCTAAAATGTTTGAAAAGATCTCTACAGGAATATGTACTAGGAACTCTAGCTCTCTAGCTATTATTCTTACTATTCGTTTTTGTATAGAAAAAACATTTTTTGCCAAAGTGGAATTTTCCCACAAACATATTCCATACCTAATTCGTAACACAACCTGTGCATGGTATAGAGCCACTAGCTGAGGTATTTCAAGTATATGTTTGAGATTCCTGAACATGAAACACACAGAATTCAATCTTTTACTTAAGTTTGTACAGTGACCTTTCCAGCTTACATTTTCATCAACAAAAAGTCTAACGAAATTGGTTTCATCTCTACTGTCAATGGATACATCAACACTCATCTTAGATCTGAGAGGATCGCATTTTCTCTGGTAGTTATGAAATCGTATAATTTGGGTTTTATGAGCGTTCAAATTCAGAAAATTTGTATTGCACCAGTCCTGCATCAGTTCCGGAGCTGTATCTTTTTGCATATTAAATTCGTATCTTTGTGAAATTATCAGTGATGTGTCGTCTGCATACATTGTTACATGAACGCCTTTCAAGAATTAATTCAGATTGTTAGAGTACAATATGAATAAAATGGGTCCTAGGATCGATCCTTGTGATACACAAATATTAATGACTTCAATCTTTGAAATAACGAAACCAACTCTTTCAGATTGGATATTTGGAATACATACGTTCTGATGAAGGTGTTTCAAGAAAGAGAAAATCCATTCTAATGTTACACCTCGTAATCCATATTTATACAATTTCGATATTAACTGATTATGATTGATTCGGAACATATCAGAAATACGTGACGGACTGTGGCTGCTCATTATTTTGAGGTTCAACTCAGTACACCTTAAACTTCACTGTTTAAAAATTCTGGAGAATGAGAATGTTTCCTGAGACGGTTTTTCCAAATGAACTTAATCTCGACCAACTCAAATCCAATGTGAATCGCTACTTTCGCACAGGCACAGCTCTTAGGATGACTTAAATATTTTTCTGTAGAGCTGATTTTTCGTCCTTAAAAAAACAGGAACCGAATTTTGGGTCTACCAGACAGCATCGGGTAAACAAAACTGAAGAATATATATATTCTCGACCGTAAGCATTATTGAAATATTTTCTGTGGTTTCGTGAATTTGACTGACTAGAGAAAAATCACTGAATTGTTCATCAATTATCGGCCAACTATCAAATCAGTTCTCAACTACGTTGGTGAACTAAAAAAATATTAAAATTCGATTCATATTCAAATATTACTTCTGTACCAATAGAAAAAAATTGAACCATTTGAACTTATTTATATGTTTTGTTGCAGAAAGAGTTATTCTCGAATAAAATGGATGGCGAAACCGTCGGTCGCGAAAGAAAAATGTCATCTGCATCGACAGGAAGCATGAAAACTAAGTGGTTGAAGGCTTTTAAAAGCCTGAAAACTCCACCACCGGAACCTGAAAAGTAAGTTCATTTTCATCTTTGATGTTTTATTTTTCCACACTCATATTATTCGAGCCTGTTAGATGATTTTTATATATCTATTGATTCAACTTCCATTTTCAGAAGCAAAAATATTCTAACGGTTATGTTATTGCTTAATGACGAGTTGAAAAACGTTTCGAAACAGCCAGCAGAATATTTTTGTTCAAAACTTGGTAGATTTTTTGATACGTAATAAATGTTTGTTTGTATTTTCGACTACAGAAAAAACCAAATGTTCCAAGCGGTTTCGACGATAATGTCCATGAGGTAATGAAGTGTCGCCATTTATCATGTACCTTCTTTCTGTTAGACCACTTTTTGTTGTTCACTGTTTCCTTCACCAAGCTTCATACTTGTACATGCACCAACATATCATTATACACTTTGAATTAAAGCATAGCTACAGTAAGTCGTAGTCGGAATATAGTCTTATACATAACTTCACTTTTCACTATATATTTCAATTAATCTTAACTTTGATGAACACACAAGGTCAAATGTTATGTTTCTTAATTGGGGTCTTGGCACCCCAATAGTGAGAAACTAGGCGAATTCAACAAAATTTTCATCTGGACAACTTTTGGGAGCCTAAAAACCTCAAAATTTTAGGACTTTCTTCAGTGTTTCGCTTACAACTCGCTAAGGAAGCCTTCCACAGAAAAAATGATTGTTTCCTACATTAAAGAGCATTGAATTCTGCGTCAAATGAGTCATTTGTTTAAAACCCTTTCTAGGTTCAACAACCACTGTGAAAACTACTTGATGATAGTTGGAGGGTTGTTTAGGTCAGCAACAATAGAAATGTTTTTGAAATATGTAGTTTGGTATTGAAAATTATTTACATGTTCGTAAGTGATTGAAAATTTATGTACAATCGAGAATTATGTTAGTATACTACTATTGTATTATACTCCGGTGTGTATTTCATCAGTTCCATTGTCTAATATAATATAAATTGATTTGGAATTCCTGAAAAAATATCAAGAATATCAACCGAAAATAACAATTTTATTTGAACAAAAAAACTGAAATTACAAAGAAATGACATAAAACCAAACAACAACCAAAAAAATAAAAATTGAAATAATAATAAAAGCTGAAAATTAAAAATCATCATTAACAAAAAATTAAAAACAAAAATTGAGAGATTCCAAACCAAGTTATGTCACGACGTTCCGATTGTTAGTTATATCTTAATGATATTAACTTATTTATGGACTGTGAATTCATAAATCTGTTCGCAGATGATACATTATTAGCATGTAGTGATACAGACTTGGATAGAGCTATTCACAAAATGAATTCCATCTTAGTCAGTGTTAAAAGATATCTCGATATCAATAAATTGAAATTAAATGTTACTAAAACCAAAGCCATGATAATTACTATTAAATTTAAATAAAACAAAATTGGGATAAATAATTTAGACATAAATATTGATAACAAGAAAATTGAGATCGTCACAAATATAAAATACTTAGGAGTCCAACTCGACAATACACTTCCTTTTGATAGCCATTTCGACTATGTTCATAAAAAAATTTCAAAAAAATTATACTTTTTTTCAAGAATTGCTAGTAATTTATCAACAGCCACTAAAATAACAGTTTATAAAGCAATTATTCTGCCTCATTTTGACTATTGTGCATCAATCATATACTCTATGAATTCAAATAAAATTAATCAACTGCAGAAATTGCAAAATAGAGGCATGAGAATTATTCTGAGATGTAATAGATACACACCAATAAATTCAATGTTATCCACCCTTCAGTGGCTGCCCGTATTACAAAGGTTACTGTACTTCGCAATGATATTTATTTATAAGATAATAAATAATTTGTCTCCTTCTTATTTCATAAATATGGTCAACTACAATTATGAAATCCATGAACACTATACTCGCAATAACTGCAATCTACATATTGTCAGAACAAATTTTGAAAGTAGTATGAATTCAGTATTTTTTAAAGGCTTCATTGAATTTAATGACCTACCAACTGACGTAAAAGACTGTTTATCAATAAATGTCTTCAAAAGACATTTGTTAAAATATATAAAAGAAACATAACTTACATTTGGATAAAGTTGTAAATCTATGTTTTATATGTTAGTTTTGATTGTGAAATATTTGAATTGTTTCGGTATAAATCTTTTAATGTTACATATATAACTAGCATTAAAAAGTAGAAATAATGAATATTATTTGTAAAATAATAGCACGGAGCGATAGAACTATTTATTGTTACTTGTAATAGTTTTAAAATTACTAATAGCATATATTAGTTACTTTTTCTGTTCTATCTTTTCCTATTTTTTTTATTGTATATTAGGGAAACCTATTTCTGAAATAAAGAAAGATTATTATTATTAACTGGACTTATTCCTTCGAGATACAACTATTTATAAGCCATTCGAGTGCTTTCACCTATCCCCTCTTCTCTCTCTCCGCTTCATTGGTTTTGGCGGGAGTTGACCGTTTGGCGGGAGTTGGTCGTTTTTTCTTTGATTAGAGGTTTACATATGTTGCGTGTCTCTACGCTAGCTTGGCTAAATGCGTTGTTGGACAACATATATGCGGCTTCTTTGAATTGTCTCCTAAACCAGTATTCCTCTGTGTGGCTGATTTCAGCTTGAGCCTACTTGATATTATATTGGTGAGTCCAAACATGCTCTGCTATTTCGGATTTGCTAGTTTCTCCTCGTTGTGTGTGTTTCTTGTGCTCAGCAATGCTAACTTTCAATGTCCTCTTTATTTCACCGATGTATGCTTGTCCGCACTCTCGGAATCGCAGCCCGCTTTTGGTGGCCTGGTCCTAATGTTATACTTGGACCCAATCCTTCGTACCCTTTCCGATAATCCTCTGATGTAGGGAAGTACAAGTACTGGTCGTGGAGGTCTCTCTTCCTTGTGGAGCTCTTGCTGTCTTCTAGCTGAAGACTGTTCTACCATCGCTCTGAAGTAACCATTCCGTTGAAGGCCGTTTTTTGATGATGCTTAGTTCCCTTCCGAGACCTTCCTTTGTATTACAGAGCCCGAAGGCACGGTCTAGTAGAGTCTTGATGATTCTTCTCTTAGTCGATTGATGGTGGTTGGATTTCTGGTTCAGATATTGTCCTGTGTGAGTGGGTTTGAGATATAAAGATGCTTCCCATTTAGTGTCGCTCCTCTTCACCAGACTTCTAAGAAAGGCAATTCGTTGTGGATTTCCTTTTCTATTCTGAGAGTGATGGAAGGACTCACGTTGTTGATTTGCTTCAGGAAAGTGTCTAAATATGCATTCCCATGGTTCCAGATTATGAAGGTGTCGTCTACGTATCTCAACCAGACTCGGGGCTTCTTGTGGGCTTCTTCAATGGCCAGAGTTTCAAACCACTCTATACATATATTAGCTATATCCGGTGAAAGTGAAGATCCCATTGGCAGTCCCCCATCTTGCGTGAAGAATTCGTCCTTCAGTTGGAAGTAGCAGTTTCTTATACAGCATCCTAGTAATTCCATGATTACTTGCATCGGTAAGTTTGTTCTATCTTTCAGGTCCCCGTCTTCGGATAGCTTCTTCTGTATGATTTGAAGTGCTTCTTCGACAGAAACGTTGGTATAGAGGCTTTCGACGTCGAAACTGATCAGTTGTTCCTGCTCTTTGACTTCAATTTCCCTCAATAGTTCAACGAAATGCCTTGAATTTTTCACAAAAGACGATGTTTCACCTTGCAATGGTTTAATTATTGGTAGTAAAAATCTGGACAAGTTCTGAGTGGCTGAATCTCTGGAGCTAATGATTGGTCTGAGCGGAACATCCTTTTTGTGGATTTTGGGTAGTCCATACAAGTGAGGAGGCTTACTGTGGTGCGGTGTTAACGATGAACTCTGTTTTTCCGAAAAATAGACTTTGTTTTTTTTTCAAAGTCTGGTACAACTTCCTTTCAATTAATGCAGTAGGGTCTCCTACGCTCTTCGTGTATTTTTCTTTCTGAAACACCTCTTCGACCTTCTGTTCGTAGAGATCAGTATCCATCACAACAGTAGCGTTTCCCTTATCTGCAGGTAAGATCTTGATGGTGTTGTCTTTGCATATTGAAAATTTTGAAAGCTGGTGAAAATTTGAGTTGTTTGCCATAGTTTTTTCACTTCTTGGTATCCTTTTTGATCGCCTTGTTATCAGAAGCACGCTCTTGAAGCTTACTATAAGGGTTCAAAAGCTTCGGGACTAACATATAGATGGTGATAGTTTTATTGCATTTACCGCTTTTTCCGTTAGTACTGATCTTCAAAAGGAAGCCGTTGAAATTCCATGGTATTCTACTTATAAGTTTGTGAGTTATTGTGCTGAGAGTGACACTACTTTTTTTATTTTCGAAACAATGGATCAAAAATAATTTCGTGTCTTAATTCAATGATGTTTCCTGATGAAGAAAAATATTGTCCAAGCAAAGCAATGGCTTAGAAAGTGGTATAAGGACTCTGCTACATCAGACCATTTGAGAAACATAATATCACAATATTTGTTGAAGATTAGCAGATCCAACTGAGAGTCAAACCATTTTCTGATTTATAACGACTTATCAGTCTCTTCAATCGTCAGACAAGTATGACGTTTATGAAGAAAATTGAAAATTAGGATCTGATGAACAATCGACAAGAATCGAAAAATCANAAATGTTCTTATAGGACGAAACTGCAGTAACGTTAGTTTCAAATGGAAGTAGTGAAAACATAGAAACTTTTCAAACTTATACTTTTTCATTCACTTTTATTTGTAACTAACGTTACTATAGTTTCGTCCTATAAGGACATAGTCGAACTCATACATAATTGTAACATATATACATTAACGTATGAGTTGGGAATTGTCCTTATAGGACGAAACAGCAGTAAACAGAAAGTTTCATTTGTCATTTTCCTACATGAGATATTCCTTACTCAAGAACTGGATTATCCAAATAAAAAAAAACGGAATGAAGGATTGGTAGAAAATAGAAGAGTGTGAAAACTGTAATCCGCGAAGGAGACGATTAATTGTGACAAATGAGTTGAACACAAAATGTCAATAATATATAAACAATAAACATTGATAAACAATGAAAATAAACAAAAATCATAGTAAAAAAATTCATGAAGCATAAAAATTACTTAGTTTTCTCATAGTTCTACATTCCATACTCATTTTTCATTTCTGTAGATTTTTTGAAAAATGTCATTATTTTTTCATTACCGCAATTGGTGATTGTTTTGGCATCTATATGATACATAACATGCAAAACTTCATCATCTACTATAACTTAATCGTCGATGATCAACCACCCTGAGATTTTTGAGAATTTTTCACTCAGACTGATGACCCTCCGCTAAGACCCCAGAATCTGGTAATCCATTGAAGGATGAGTATAACTCGTACTCAGAAGAAGTAATTAGATCAGATTGATGATAATGCCTAAGAGTTAGTTGTGGAACATAAAGAAACATTAATATCACGATAGTTTTTTCCAAACCTTTATTTTAACACCCCGACATGTGTTTCGATCTCCAAGAGAGATCTATAAGAGAAATATCAAACTGAACATACTATCAATGTTATCGTTATTCATACCTTAGATACCTCTTCAAGGTACCTGAGTCTTTCACAATAGTGCCTTATCTACCAGTCATGAAGTAATTTTACAATGTCAATAATCAGGTAAACCTAATAATAAAAATATTATTTTAACGAGCTATATGGTATACTATTAGGTATTGCTCCACCATCGTTATCCATAATATTATTATGTTTACTTATTTCTACACTCTCATAAGCATCTAGATGCCTGTTGTTGATAACTTGTATAACTAATCTTAGTGAACTAAAGTCTGTGAAATGGTTTTGTTGCAGAATATGATGAGCAACTGCTGATTTTTCAGGTCTTCCATAGTTCAAGTGTGCTAAGAATTTCTTATATCTTATTCTTATAGATCTTTTTGTCTGTCCATTATATTTTGCATCGCAATCCCTACATTTAATTTCATAAATTCCAGATTCTTCCAAATTTTCAAGAATCCGGAATACCAAATAGTATACTATAGAGCTTGGTGAAATATTATTTTAACTGACTATTACATAAGGACACATTGTGAAATTAATTTAGACTAGTAGATAAGGCAATATTGTGGAATTGTTGTTCGTTCTGTTCATTTATATGTATTCATTCAACACAATTCACTTTCAATTACATTCGCACCTGTGCTAGCTGATCACCCTGTACACGACCAATGTTACCCGTACGTATGCTTACTTTGTGTGTTAGTTATTGTGATCCTAGTCATAGTCATATAGAACCTTGCGAAAAACTTATTCAAGTTGTCTGGTCAACACGTCTGTAGCTGTGATTATTTTTGCTCCGTTTTGAGAATGCTTTTTCAATTCTTTTCCCAGATGATCCTTCAGGATGAGTAGAAAACGTTGTTTTTCTCAGGCGGAAATCAGTGTGGAAGCGCCAAATATAAAACTGTCAACAAGACTGGGGAATTTTAGGTTGTATATAGAATTTGAAGCTGTTTATTAGAAACGAGTTGTGAGGAAAATCAATACAACTTTTATTTCCAGTAAAACAATGTAATATATCTGAAGTTACTCTTCAATTGTTTAATAAATGAACAACTTTTTTTGTCATACCAATAAATACCGTGCAGTTAGGCGATCAAATTATGACGAAGTGATTGCGAATAACTCGAAAACTATGCAATTGGTGTAGAAAGGTAATCCATAAAAGACCTGCCTTCCTGCACCCACAATTTCGCTGGCAAATTGTGGTGCACTTGCACGAAATCAGCTTTAGAAGCGCAGCTGGGGGAGCAAGCGTGATCACTGGCTCTAAGCCTGAGATGGCTTTTTTCCAACTCCACTCCTCTAGGTCTTTTTCCACACCAAGCGAGTGCTACCTGGTGGTAGACCCTGAGAGAGTGCTCCTTCGCTGCAGCAGCACTAGGTGATAAAGCTGCTACGTTTGAGCTGAGCGTGAAGGAGATGAACCTCAGGTGGTTGAGGGTGGGTGTGGTTTTTCTTGTGTAACCATACCGGGAAACCAGAAAACGTTCTCCTGTGGCGATTACTGCTTCTTGGGAGGCGTTGGGGGTTTTGAAGATGTGGCACACGTTTCCTAGGCTGGGGTTTTTCAAAAGCGTATTTGAGAATTTCGTCTTTCTTTGCCTGAAGAGGGTAGACGCCGTATCACACCCGCTCATCGCGTATAAAAGGAGGATGTGGTTTTAAATGGGGATGCGCACGCTTCTAGCGGAGAATACGAAGCTGTCTCCTTTCCAGGTTTCAGAAAAAAAACGTTGTTGGCCTGTGTGAGTCCAATCAAAATGACCACTGTCTCGTAAGAAGGAGCCAATGACAGTGCTGTGGGGACAATAAGGGTGTCAGCATCTTCTTTTGCCTGTTTGTACTGCAATCTAACATATGCGAATACCGACGAAAGCATGGCTATGAGCTGCGCTGCTTATGACTGAGAGCGGTTTGACTCAGTCATTCCTTCAATATTATATTCCCGTGTCAAATCGCTGATTTTTGGAGTTTTGAGGGTTTTCCCTCACTTTTAGCGTTCTCCCATGCCTCAATGGCTGACCGTGGAAAAAAAATTCAATAACTTAAAATGTAGGAAATTTTATCTTCTTTTTTTTGTATGGGTGATCTTTCTACACAAAATATGTAGTATTCGAGTTATTCGCAAGAAATCAAAACGAAGTCGATTTTTTTCACAATTTTTGCAAAAAAAAACATATTTCCCGTGAAAAATTTTGTTGGCAAACCTCAGATTCGTGTTCAGTAGCCCAAAATACCATATAGAACCGAATTTCAAAACTCTTGCAAAACTTCCCGCAAACTGCCCTTTTTTGACACAAGCTGCCTAGAATACAATGTCAATCCATCAGCAAGAGAAAATTACAGGAAATTTAAGATAATAAAATATTTCAATTTCATTATNGCCCCCTACGAGTAAGAGCAATAAGAACATCAGGTTCGAATTCGACACCTCAAAAACCTTCTATTACCAAGTTTCGTTTAATTAAGTTCAGTATTTCAAAAGTTATTTGAAAAAAAACGAAAATAAAAATAAAACTTCAACATCCTGTATCTTGGAAACGAAGCGTTTCTGGACATTTATTTATTTGGACAATTCATATTAGAATATTGTTAGGAATTACCTCCTGAAGTTTGTCATAGTACTTTTGAATCATCCTGTATAGAAGCTATTTGCAGTCTTCAGTTTTTCAGTTATTTATTGCTTCTTGCTGTGTGATCAAAAGCAAACTGGAAAGTTCACTTCAAAAAGATACTGCATAATATAAAGCATTTAAGATTCCAATCAGTCAGTTAGGTACTCATCGTATTGGTAAATTCCAATCACTATTTTGATAATTTCATTTGTAGGCATTTGGTACCTGGGGTACCAAATGCCTAATGATTTATTTTTTCATCACCCACATATTTTTGTGCACTGATCACGAATCTGAAATTCTAATTGTCTGCAGGCCCCAAAATTTAGAGTAACGCTAAGATTTTGCCAATTTTATTGATTTTGTAAATGAGTATATTTGATTTCTAGCAATGGGTGAATCAACACATTGATTATGATTACAACTTATTAGCACAGCAGGCTTTGGTTTTGATGTCATAACCATATTTATATCCACGATTCGTCACCAGTTACGACCATATCAAGCAAATCTGGATCGCCTTTGACGATATTCAACAATTCCTGAGCGATGCTCAAGCCATGGTTTTTTAGGTCAAAATTCAGCAAATTAAGAACGAACCTTGCTGCCACCTTCATACCCAAAATTTCCAAAAATCATTGCATGGCAATGGCCAACCGATATGTCGAAATCCTGTCACTTTTCTAGTAGTAATTCAATGATTTTTCATAACAATTCTCTTCACTTTCTCTTCACATTTTCATCAATTGTTGATGTGCTGATACGTCAAGGGCGATTATTGTCATCCATATCTTCTCCGTCTGTGGTAAGCGTGTAGTCTGGTTCACATGTACTCGATTCAGCTCTTTTTGGTGACATTTTTCAGCCCTGTCCAAAAATTACGACCAAGGTGTCATTCGATTCATATTTTTGCCTAGAAAGTTCAAAGAAAGGTCCGAAAACGCGCCGANTATGCCACTATCAAAATTTCAAGTGTTTCCTAGCAAAAAAGTTCTAACTTTCATGCCTGTCACCCACAAACTAAACAGCTGAAACTGTGAAAATATGTTCGAGACATAAAAATGATCGCTAATGTATGCAGCCCCTGAAATTTGAATATTTACCTTGTTCTTTTCAACATACCTCGTATTTGTGATCACTTTGATAACCAAATCACTGAAAGTTGTTGCTTGTGCCGGTTTTCAACTTTAGATTCGTGCTCAGCGGACAGAAATATCCTGATTGCCGCTGTTGATATATTTCCTTTCATTCAAAATTCGAAGTTTTGATAATAGTCCGAAATTTCCAGATGGATTTTCCTCAGAAAACTGAATTGATGGAATGAATAAAGTCGAGAAGTTCTGTGCTAGATAGACATTGAAATGTTCCAAAGATTTCATGAAAATTGAAATATGATGAAAGCTCAACAACGACAACAAAGACGTACTGAAGAATAAAGACAATCAGTTCAAAAGTATCTTTTTGAAAAACAGATTCTCACGAATGAAACATTCGTTTTCGCTGTAACGATAAATTATTGACGACATGCGATCTGAGTGTTCGTAACGTGACAGAAATACTACTCAGTTTTGAGCCTTGTCTCGCATATTGACCTGTCGCACAAAATTGAATGTCATACCGTATCAACCCTACTCAAACAAATTAAATTTCTGGCAACAGACGTGTTAGTGAGACAAACTGCTCCCATTTGCCCATTCCACTGTTTTTTGTCTTCATTTGGGTCTTTTATGTGTAGGAAAAATGGTGCCGCTGCGACTAGAGAATTGCTCAAGGGCGACCCCGACGCTCACAATTTTCAGGAATATACGTATAAGAAGATAACTCCATGTGATATATGTTCACAAGTTCTTAGAGGTGAGGAATGTATTGAATATGTTTATTTCTGAAAAAATTAGTGAAACTTAATCGAATAGATTGTGTTAGGTCCAAAGTGAGTGGGTCTATTCGACCCGCAACCCGTAAGGGTTTATTGTGGCTTACAATTATTCACACTCGACCAAATAAACTCAGATGGTAAGAGTACGGTTCTGCCGAACTTTAAAAGTCTGATTCAGTCCCCAACGGGGCAGGCATAAATTATGTGCTTTGCTGTTTCATCATTTTCCAATTAGAGATGATACACACTGTCTTCCGACAGTGGCCAGGAATCTAAATCGAATAACAATTTCCAAATACAGGTTAGTAATTTTGAAAGTACCTACACACAACATCATTCTATAAGAAAACAATCTAATGAATCAAAGACCTCGGGGTATTTGTCCCTAATTAAGCCAAGGGAAGCCAAGAAAGGGATCAATATGAGACCAAGAAATGAGATACACTGTTTGATGAACCTCAAAAACGCAAATTGAAATGTATCCATGTTCTGAAGTCGTATCTACTTATGTATCATTTGGTATTTGATGTATGTACCTACATATATGAAATTGTGATTTAATTATTA